TGTTTTCTCCCATTCCCTATTTTATTTATCCTGCTCTGATTTTTGTTTTCCTCCTTCTAGCTTTGTGTTTAGTTTGTTCTTTATCTAGTTCCCTAAGGTGCAAAGTTAGATTGTTGGTTTGAGATCTTTCTTCGCTCCTAATATAAGCAATTACAGCTATAAATTTCCCTTTTGGCACTGTATCTCATAAGATTTGGTATATTGTGTTTTTATTTTCACTTATCACATGATAGTTTCTAAATTCTCTTCTGATTTCTTCTTTGACCCATTTGTTCTTTAAGAATGTGCTATTTAATTTCCACGTATTTAGGAATTTTCTAGTTTTTCTTCTGCTTTTGATTTCTAGTTGTGACCAGAAAAGATACTTTGTTTAATTTTGATCTTTTTTTTAACTTAAAATGTATTTTGTAGCTTAACATGTTATTTATCCTGGAGAATGTACTGTGTGTTCTTAAGATAAATGTGTGTTCTTTTGTTGGGTAAAGTGCTCTGTATATGTCTGTCAGATCCAATTGGATTATAATTTTGTTCAAATCCTCTATTTTCTTGTTGATTGCTGATTTTTTCTGTCCTTTCTTTGAACGTGGGACATTGAAGTTTCTGACTATTATTATACAGCTGTTTATTTCTACTTTCAATTCTATGTTTGCTTCATATATGTAAAAGCTCTGGTGTATATGTTTATAATTGTTTTATCTTCTTGTTGAACTGGTCCTATAATCATTATATAATGTTTGTCTTTTATGACAGTTTTTTTTAAATATATTTTTATTGATTTTGTACAGAGAGGAAGGGAGAGAGATAGAGAGTTAGAAACATCGATGAGAGAGAGTCATCAATCAGCTGCCTCTTGCACATCCCCTACTGGGGATATGCCCGCAACCGAGGTACATGCCCCTGACCGGAATCGAACCCGGGACCCTTCAGTCCCCAAGCCGACGCTCTATCCGTTGAGCCAAACCGGTCTCGGCTTTATGACAGTTTTTGACTTGACATCTATTTTGTCTGATATGGTATAGCCATCACTACTCTCTTTTGACTACTATTTTCATGGAATCTTTTTCCATTTCACTTTTGTATTTTTGTTGTTGTTGTTGTTGTTTTTAAAAAAATCATTTTTCCAGTCTTTTCTTATGCTATTGAAGTTCTCACTTCAATATGACTGGTCTTTTCTTATGCTATTGAAGTTCTCACTAAGTTCAGTGTTTTGAACTCTGCATCTAGTAGATTGCTTGTCTCCATTTTGTTTAGCTCTTTTTCTGGAATTTTGTGCTGTTCTTTATTTGGGATGTGTTTCTTTGTCTCTTCATGTTGGCAGCCTCCCTACGTTTGTTTCTATGTATGAGGTAGAGCGGCTATGTCTCCCGGGCTTGGTAGAGTGGCCTAAAGTAAAAGGTGTCCTGTAGAGTCTGGTGGCACAGCCTCCCCGATCACCCAAGCACCCAATCTGGGCACTTGAGGTACACACACACACACACACACACACACACACACACACACACACACACACCATGGAATATGTACACCCTCCTCTTATAGTTGAACCTTAATTGCTGTTGCCATGTCAATGGGAGGGACTACCTCCAGGCTGAGCCTCTGAAAAGAGTGGCTGCACCACTGACCTCCAACCACTGTGGAGAATCAGCTTTGCACCCTCCACAAAGCAGGTCTTTGCTGCCCGCCTAGTCCACCCCTTGAGTGTGTCACTTGTGGAGGTGGTTGGGTGGTGGTACTTAGAAGTGGTCTGACACTGTCCATGGGGTGTGCTGGCTCTCAGTTCTCCCAGGAGGTGCAGGCCCAGGTCAGCCATCACCTGTGTTTGGATTGGGGCCACCAGGCATGAGCTACAAAGCCATCTGCAGATGGTTGCTACTTGTGTTGGGCTTGGAAGTGCCCAGTCAAGGCCAGGCTGTGAACCAAAGCTGGTTGCCGCTAATGCTGGGTTTGGGGCCAATTAGCAAGTGGTACAGAGCACATTGAGACCAGATGCTGCTTGTTTCAGAGATTTTAGGAAAATCTGAAACATGCGCCAAGATAGAAGCCACTTGTATGGAAGCCAGTGGAAATAGCTTGGGTGGGCCTGAAAGTGAGGTATCAGGGATCACCAGGGCAGGGCAAAGAGTGTAAGCCAGGTTGATGGAGTCTCCGATATGGCACCCACCTGCCTGTTCTGTGGGGGAGTGGCTTGTCTAAGGAATAGTGGCCTTTGCCATCACTTCTGTCTGGAGAAAGCGTCCCCCACCCCACCAGCCCTCACCTGATGCCTGAAAATTTTGTTCCTCCTCATATGTCTCTGGTGCCTTTCAAGCTGCTGCCCCAGTACTAGAGCTCACAGGGAGTGAGTCCACGTTAATCTGTGCGTGGGCCTTTTAAGAGGAACTTCCTGGGACTCCAGAAGGTCTCTGTCTCCCTCAGCTCAGTCCCCACTAGTTTTTACAGCCAGAAGTTATGGGGATTTCTCTTCCTGGTACTGGAACCCTTGGTTTAGGGATCTGGAGTTTGTATTTCTATGTTGATATTCTCATTTTGTTGTCATATATTGTTTTCCTAATTTTTTTTTCCCTTTGGGTTTTCTTTACCTCTTTCATCATATTTAATGAGCTGTTTTAAAGTCTGTATCTAGTACATCCTATGCCTGTTTTTCCTTAGGGATGGTTTATACCAATTTCTTTAAGTGGGCCATGTCTTCCTATGTCTTTGTATACCTTGTGATTTTTTTTTCTTTTTGAAAAATTCAGCATTTGAAAAATAGCCAATTTTCCCAGTCTTTGCTCTGTGCCATGAAAGACCTTCACTAATTATCAGGATGTGTCTGAGCCATAGAGTCGGGGGGTGGGGAGAGTTGAGGAGGAGGCCACAAAGGTTTAAGCTGTTCTTAGAATTTTTTCTGAGCATGTATCTTCCCTGGGTTTGTGTGTGCACTATTTTCAGTTCCCCCATATACATGGCTTCTTTTGTTGCTGGCAAAATAGACAGTTACCACAATTTTAAAACAAAAAGGGGCCATCAAGAGGGCTAGTGTTGCTAAGGGTGTGAAAGAAACAGTGAGCATGGGCAATTAAAGAAGTAAAAAACAAAACAAAAACTTGTTGATTTGGATAAAAGAAAAGCAGTTAGCCAGTGACAGCATTTTGCAGGCATGATAAATGAAAAAGGAAATATGCTGCATACTGACTTCCTGCAAGACACCCCTAATGTTAAAAGTGATTCGTTTAAGGCTGATAGGGGGTGGTTGGATAAATTTAAGAAAATAACTGTTGCCGAAATTGGTTTGGCTCAGTGGATAGAGCATCAGCCTGCGGACTGAAAGGTCCCAGGTTCGATTCCGGTCAAGGGCATGTACCTTGGTTGCGGCTCATCCCCAGTGGGGGTTGTGCAAAAGGCAGCTGATCGATGATTCTCTCTCATCAATGTTTCTAACTCAATATCCCTCTTCCTCTCTGTAAAAAATCAATAAAATATATTAAAACATATATTATATATTTAAATAAATAAGTAAGTAAAAAAGAAAATAACTGTTTATAGATTAAACAGTACTGTATTAGATGTGTATTATATATAAGAAAGGTTAAAACAGAATCACTTGGGGGTCTGGAAAGAATTCATTCAACTTACATTATTTCTAATAGTGGGAAATGTTCCAGTTTCCTAACAAATCGCTTCTCAAACAGCCTTTTGGAATGAATTAAGTTTGAGAACCAAGGTTCCACCAAGACAGACTCGAGGTTGGCTTGAAGGCCACTGTAGGCTTGCTTCCTGCACTGATGGCCTTGGCCCCCACGTTTCCCATCCCCAGACACTGCAGTCACCCCGCCTCCAGCACTCTTACCCACCCCTGTCCTTGGTTCCAGGGCACATTGCCTCCTGCGGCCCTTCTGCAGAACCGGCCTTCCTATCTATGTTCTCTGTATCCTGTTCTGAGCACATTACACATCTCTGTCCTGAGACAGCTTTCCCGTGAGCAGCTCCACCTTACAGATGAGGAGGCCAGCCCCGGGCAAGAGGGTAACTTCCCCACGGTCACACACCGCTGTGGGCAGCCTAAACCCACATCCTGCCTTCAACCCGGCACTTCCCTGTCCCTTCCCCCTCGGAATTTCCATTCCTTTTTCCATAACTGTCAGAGAATGGTGGGTTTTGCCTGAGGGCGCAGGAGCCTTGAGGAGGTACCTCACTTCCTGTCCTTGGAAGAGTCAGGTTCCCAGGTGGTGCCTTGCACTATACAGTGGTTCTCAACCTTTCTAATGCCGCGACCCTTTAATACAGTTCCTCATGTTGTGGACCCCCAACCATAAAATTATTTTCGTTGCTGTTTCATAACTGTAATTTTGCTACTGTTATGAATGGTAATGTAAATATCTGTGTTTTCTGATGGTCTTAGGCGACCCTGCTAGCGGTTCTCAACCTGTGGGTCGTCCCTGTTAACCCTTCTGAAAAGTAAATTACTGAATGGGAGAAAAAGTGGAAGAATGGATTGGATATATGTTCCTGTCACCTTGAAAGATTTGGGGACATCATGTATACATGACTTTTTAAAATAGAATGAGGCAGCCAGCATGCAGGAGGCAGCCAATCAATGACTCCCTCTCATTATTGATGTTTCTCTCTACCTTTCCCTTCCTCTCTGAAATCAATAAAAATAAATTTTTTTAAAAAAAATTAAGTAAAATATAATGAGTCCCAAAACTGTTTGTCTGGAACAGCACTTAGAGGGAAGCATGCACAGACCCCAGGTTATCACCTGCAGGATCTACAACCTTGGACAACTCACCTAGCCTTTTACACCTCAGCTCCTCTTCTGTAAAATAGGGATCACATCTTCCAAAGTCATTTTGGGAATCAAGTGGAGCTTCTGATTCACAGGAGAAAACGCAGCCCAGGTTTTGGTTCCATGTTTTATCCCCGAGCACAGGGATGTCTGACTTGTCCCGGAAGTTCGCAGCCTAACGTGTTTTCCCTGCCTCTCCCGTTGTGCCAGCACAGACCTCACAGACGAAGAAATGAGAAAAATACCAAACAATGGGAACCTGAAGGTGATGAAGGTGGCGTACCCCCTGGGACTGTGTGTGTGCCTGTTCATCTACATCGCCTACATCAAGTGGCACTGGGTCTTCGCCACCCAGGCCTTCTTCAGCATCACGGAGGCGGCCTCGGGGGCCCACCGGGGCCAGCAGACTCACGATGCCCCGGGGAGGACGGCTCACGGTCACAAGGCCTTCTATGGCATCATGTTTGACGCGGGAAGCACTGGCACCCGAGTGCATATCTTTCAGCTCACCTGGCAGCCCGGAGGTATCCTGCCCAGGCAGAAAGCCCTGCTGCGGGCTGCTTTCTCTCCCCTCCCTGCAGAGCTCATGGGACCCACCCCCCTTAAAGGCAGTGGTTTCGCAGGGTATGGGCTAGACTCCCTGCCTTAGACTCACCTGGGAGCTTGTCAGAAATGCAGTGTCCCAGGGATGCTGGCTCAAACTATGGGTTGGGACCCAGGAATCTACATCTTCCACGAGTCCCAGGATATTCTTACTTGTACGAGCATCTGGTTGCCAGCTAAGGGCAACGGAGATCCCAGAGGGTGTTTGGAAGCCTGTTCCCTCCCAGCATGCACGGCAGGTCAAGTGGCTGGGACCATGACTTGGGCCAGATATCGTGTTAGTGAAGTTAAGGTAGGAAGTAACCCCAGATTCAGGCCCGTGGAGCTAGGAGTCTAGGACAGTCAGATAATTGGAGAGACTCAGCCAGCCGAATGCAGAGCTGCAAGGGGGGCTGTGGCCTCAGCAGTGAGAGTGGAGCTGGAGCCAGAGCCTGTGTGTGAGCTTTGCTTCACTGACTGGCTTCTCCTATAGGGAGACACCCCAACAGTGCCCAGCTCCTCACCCTGTTCCTCCTCCCTTTGACCTCCTTTCCCAGCCCCTCCCTGTGCCCATTGGCTCTGAGGGTTGCCTCTTCAGCCTCTAGCCAATGTTTCCTGCTGACTGTTCAGCAGATGCACTGGTCAAGCTGGAGTCCTCTCCTCTCTACTCTGCTTCTTTGCTCACTTTCAATGCCTTCTGAGTCGATGCCATCTTGTGCATGTAACTGAGCAGGTGATGCAGACACCTTGAGTAGCCCTCCAAAGCCATCATGGCGTATTTTATTTACTTTTCCTATGCTTTGTTTCTAAACTTGTTGCAAGTTAAATACATATTTATGCGCTGGACCTATCTACCTCCAAAAATGGTTTTGAAGCTGAGTTTAAGACAACACATGTCCACATGGAATCCGTTAATAGCAACATTCCGTTGTTTAACGTTGGAGAGACACCCTTACAAAACATTTTGTTTCTTGTTTTTCCTCCTGGATCTCCGTGTCTGAATTCAGACCAGCATCTCTTGGCCACTGTATGCTCTACATGCTCACCCTGCTATATGCACAGGAGTCCAGCCTCCTAAATATTTAAAAAAGAAAGCACATATTTTTAGAATCCTATAATGCATCCATCCCAGAATCAAGGAAATGACTTTCATTTCTGCAGTTTGAAAAGTTGCAAAATCATCTGCCCTGCTCCTCTATTTATTAACAAGAATTAACCTTAAATGGAGGTTTTGTGTGTGTATGTGTGTGTGTTTTGTATGCAAATTATACCTAAATAAAGTTATTTTTTATTTTAAAGGTAAAGTTCTGGCCAAAATGTTAGGTATAATATTCATCTTGTTTAGCCAAACTAGGGACAGAATTTAGATTAGAATCACGGACAGGCCTCCTGTCCTTCTGGGACCCATCTGTTTTCAAATTGACCTTTAAAAGTGTGGCTAATCTTAGTTGTATAGATTTGTATATTTGTGTAATCGTTCATAGCTGTACCTTTTTAAAAAAATGTTTTTTCCTTAGAGACTCCCACCTTGACCCATGAAACCTTCAAAGCACTCCAGCCAGGCCTTTCTGCTTATGCTGACGACGTTGAAAAGGTAGCCGTTTTCTCTCGTCCTTATCTTTTTACTGTGATTTGTTAAAGCCAGCTTTCTTCCCCGAGCGCAGTAGGCCATCTTCACAAAATAGCATCTCTGATGGTGCTGACCAGGAACATTTCATATGTTTCGTCTGGTCAAAAAATAGAGAAGGCCTACCCAATTTGGCTCAGTGAATAGAGTATCGGCCTTCAAACTGAGGGTCCTGGGTTTGATTCCAGTCAAGGACATGTACCTTGGTTGCAGGCACATCCCTAGTAGAGGGTGTGCAGGAGGCAAATTATCAATGTTTCTCTCTCATCGATGTTTCTCTCTATCCCTCTTCCTTCCTCTCAGTAAAAACAATCAATAAACTATATTTAAAAAACAACAACAAAAAAAACACCCTATTCTTGCCAAAACCGGTTTGGCTCAGTGGATAGAGCGTCAGTCTGTGGACTGAAGGGTCCCAGGTTCGATTCCGGTCAAGGGCATATGCATTGGTTGCGGGCACATCCCCAGTACGGGGTGTGCAGGAGGCAGCTGGTCGGGGTTTCTCTCTTATTGACGTTTCTAGCTCTCTATCTCTCTCCTTCCTCTCTGTAAAAAATCAATAAAAAATATATTTAAAAAAAGAAAAAACAACCTATTCTTAAAAAAAAAAAAAAAAAAAAAAAAAGATTAAGAAAAGAAAATAGAGGAAACTGGTACAAACTGCATAAGGGCCCACAGCTCCCCCTCTCCCACACACGCCTTGGCCATCACAAGCACTTCCTACGACCGCACACAGGCCACCAGAGGTCTTGATGCATTTCAAAAGCACAAATGCTGCCCAAACCGGTTTGGCTTAGTGGATAGAGCGTCAGCCTGCGGACTGAAAGGTCCAGGGTTCAATTCTGGTCAAGGACATGTACCTTGGTTGCGGGCACATCCCCTGTAGGGGGTGTGCAAGAGGCAGCTGATCTATGATTCTCTCTCATCGATGTTTCTAACTCTCTATTCCTCTCTCTTCCTCTCTGTTAAAAAATCAATAAAATATATATATATATATATATTTTTTTTTAAAAGCACAAATGCTACAAACTTACAAAAAGCATTCCCTGAAAACTTAATATTTGTATTGTTTTAGTTCTCTTATTGAAGATGACACACATTGACTAAAATAAAAGATTAAAGGTGTATTACACAAAATCCACAAAACAAGTAAGTATAAAAGAAATTTAAGCTGCCAGTGATATTTGTAAGCTTGTAGCATTTATGCTTCTAAAGTCCTTAAAACTTACAACTATAGTAATACGGGACACTTGTCTTTTCACGAAGGCTTTCGTGAAACTAGTCACCAATATAGCTGTGAGATCCTTTTTTTGGTTCAAGCAGGTCTCAGATCAAAAGCTAATAGATCATTCTAGTCCACAGGTGGTTCCTGATCTTAGGCAGTGAAGTCATAGCCTTGCTTTCCTGTAGTTTGGTTAAAAATAAATAAGAAGAATTAGTGATTCTAGCATGAGCATAGGTCAAACCTGGTTGAATGAGATATCTAGAATAAGCTCTGGGATTTTAAAACCTTACTTATCGATATTTCAGTAGGCAACACATTCAAGTGGGATAAACTTCCCAGCATCCTTGGTTTCCTGCATATCCTTCAAGAGCACATTTTTGTGGATAATAGCAAATACATCTGTATTCTCCCCTCCTTTTTCTTTTACGTATGCCATGGAGTGGCATTCACATTGCTGTGCACTTGGCTTTTGTCTTTAACAATATCACTTGGAGATTGTTTACTCTCTCAGTATGGGGAGAGCTTCTCTGGTTTTTCTGGCTGAATGGTATTGCAGTTATGTGTGCACATTGAATTTACAGAACCAGTCCCTCCTGAAGGACATTCTGATAATGGCCAGTCTTTTTATCTTAACAGTATAAGAAGGGCTGCTGTTTGTCACATTCTGTACTACACTGCATTACCCGCATGTGCAAAGAGTTCTCTCGAATGAATTCTTAGAGTGGGACTTCTTAGTAAAAGGGATGTATCTTTCCCTTGCCCACACCTTGCCAAATTGCCCACATGGCATTGTGCCTGTTGACATGCCGGCAATGTTTTACCGAAGTCTTTCCCTGACCCATCCCCACAGGCACAGGGCCTTATCCAATATTTGGATCACGCATTCCCCCCGGTGAAAATGACCCCTCGGTATAATTATTCCTGGGTTTTAGCACTCTGAGCGACCCCAGAATTTGCTCATGATGTCCAGGGGAGTCACACTCGTCGGAGGTCGCCGGGTGAGGGTTTTGGTGGCCAGGTGTGTAGAACAGGAGCCTCTTTCATGGGCCTCATCCCATGACATTCTGCCAAGGACATTTCTCTGTGCTTTCCTGGTCCTTGTGCCCCACCCACCAGCACCACTTCAATTGCTATTTTATGCCAATGTGGAAAATTAGAAACTATGTATTTATCTATATATATAAAAGCCTAAGCCACTGTTACAATGGAAGGACCGGTCACTATGATGTGCACTGACCACCAAGGGGCAGACACTCAATGCAGGAGCTGCCCCCAGATCCCAGGCTCCCATCCCCAACTGGGCCTGCTGGTCAATCTCCCAGTCCCTTCCCCCAGCCAGCAGCCCTGATTGGCAGATCAGGGCCAGGCCCTCGGGCTGGGACAGGGAACCAGGAGTGGGTGGCAGCAGATGCCCCTGGGAAAGGAGCCAAGGGCTGGGTTCCTTCTCAGGGCTGGTGGCCAACCTTCTGGGCCCTCCCTCATTTCTCCCTCCCCTTCCCCTGCCTGGCAGGTCCCAATTGTCTGATTGAGGCCAGGCCCTGAGCTGGGATGGGAAACCGGGGCTGGGGGTGGCAGACGCAGGTGGCAAGGGAAGAAAGCGGTGGGGAGGTGTGGAGGTGGAGGACCTGATTGGCCCTGATCAGTGGGGACCCCGCCCATGCATGAATTTTGTGCACTGGGCCTCTAGTAAGTTAATAAAACCAAAGGGTAAGGGAGCATCTGTGAGTGTATGCTAAGCGTTGACAGACCCTGTTTTAACCGTTCACAGAGCTCTAAGTGTTGCTAAGATTGACAGACCCCGTTTTACCCATTCACAGAGCACTCCGGGTATTCAGGAATTGCTGGATGTTGCTAAACAAGAAATTCCTTTTGATTTCTGGAAGGCCACCCCGTTGGTGCTCAAGGCTACCGCTGGCTTACGTCTGCTGCCGGGAGAAAAGGCTCAGAATTTACTACAAAAGGTGATCTAGCCCGTGTCCTCCATGGGGGTGGCTCACAGTGACTGAACACACGAAACATGCAGCCAGTGCACAGGCGGTCAGGCCGTGGGATGCTTCCTGAAGCGAGAAACGCTGCATTCTTGTTAGAGAGTGAATGGCATTTGCTTCCTCCTGACATTTAACACTGCGGGTGTTTGCTAGAATAAATCTGTTTTTATCATAAGGACAACTTTGCTTTAAAAATGAACCATGCTTTTGAAGGGCTGTCACCCAAGAGCTTGGTGATGCAGAGGCTGTGGGAACCGAGTTCTCGGCTCTAACCTGCTGTTCTCATGGGAACCAGTCTGCTCCCAGGCCGATTCTCAGGTGTAACTTCTGCAGCGACCCTTCGCCTCTTCCTGGCTCTCACATGGCCAGGAGGGTCCCCAGGCCCTGAGCCCCTCATGCAGGGGGCCCTGGAGCCCCTCTTACCAGGTGCCTGGAGGTTGCTTTCATCAGCCAAATCAGGAAACCTGTTCTAAGCACAATGGTCCCCCTGGTCTGCTCTACTATCTCCATACCAGCTGCTGAGCAGCGGGTGGCTGCACATCTGTCCAGGTCACTTACAAAATTACACCCTCATGTCAGATTATGGGGCACCACTGCATTTGGGGTGTGCCAGATGTACTTAAGTTCCTGTGTGTCAGTACTTGCTAAAACATGGATAAGGGAAATCCTCAAATAGAGCTGCTCACTGCTTTGCCTCTCCTCTCCCAGCTCATCTCAAGGCCATGTGGGGGTCCCAGGTCTGAGCTCTACCCCTTTGTACCCTGTCCTAAAGCAGGGCAGCATTTTGGGGCCCAGCAGAGCCAGTGCCCCCCACAGCCTTCCAGGCCAGAGTGCCTTAGCACAGGCTCTCCAGGACAGCATCTGTGTCACCAGTCCAGGGAGCAGATTAACAAGGAAAGCGCCTGCAGAGTACCGTAAAAGCTGAAAACAAAACCTGAGTTTTGCTGCTTTGCAGCAGCAGCTGACACCTCAGGTGATTTGAGACCCCCTGTCAGAAGATAGACTGGGACTGTGAATTTAGATTGCAGAGGATAAAGACGTGTCTCTCTTTACACCTAGGTGAAAGAAGTGTTTAAGGCGTCGCCTTTCCTTGTCGGGGATGACTGTGTGTCCATCATGAACGGCACCGATGAAGGTAGAGTTGCCAGAGCGTCCTGTGCGAGGAGGCCCTCCTGGTGAGGCGCCGTGCTCAGAGCCGCTGGGAGCTCTCAGCTCGCTCCGGGTCAGATGCACGGATGGACAGGACAGAGTGACCATCCGTCCCAAACCACAGTTTAACTATCTCCGAGGGTCTTCTTGGAGCCAGTATGAGATTCTCGTCTTGACTGGCACAGATGGAGTTTCTGAAAACAATCATTCTTTCCATCTTAAGAGCATTTAAAGAGAATGCCCAATTACTACCATGTTTCCAATGTTACTGTTGCATTTTTAATCCTAAGATAGGCTTAGTAAGGTTCCTCACCAGCCCCCAGCTTTAAATATGACCTAACGAGGTGCCCGGCTAGCTCAGTCGGTAGAGCATGAGACTCTTAAATATGACCTTAAGAGTTTGTTTGTATGGGGAGGGAAAGGGGACTTTTCCTTTAGCTCTCTTCCAGCCTCTTCCACAACAAGGAAGTTGATAAAGGAGTGAAAGAGAGATGTGACATTTGGCAGAATATTCTAGTTTTTTAGGGTGTTATATCCTAAAACTGTCTGCCAGAAGCCACTGTCCCTGATCTGAAGGTTGAGGGTGGTGAGGAAGTGGTCAGCTTGTGCTCCTGAAACCTGAAAGTAGCATCTGCGTCCATATGTTGTCTACAGCACCTCGCGTGACTCAAATGCTCTCTGTGACTCTCCCGTAGGCATTTCAGCCTGGATCACCGTCAACTTCCTCACAGGTATGTTCACTTCGTCATGGAGGCTGACAGTTCAGACCCCGTTCCTGAGAGCAGGGCCTCTTTTCTACTCTTTAAAGTACCCCCTCTGGGGAGATCTGGGGGAGACAAGAGATCAACTGAAGGACTTGTATACATGCATATAAGTACAACCAATGGACACAAAACTCTGGGGAGGGAGAGTATGTACGGGAGGGGGGGAGGCAATGGTATATGTACAAAAATAATTTAATAAAAAATAATAATAAAATAAATAAATAAAAATTAGGGGGGGGAAATAATAAATAAATAAATAAAATACCCCCTCTGGCTCAGCATAGGCAGTCTGAATGGGTGGGGGTATCCGCCTTACCCTCCTCCCACAGCAGCAGCCACCAGAGCCCTGTCCTCTCACTTCTGGGAAGCCAGGAATAAAGCTGGTCACTTTGAGTGTTAAACATGATGTACATGCTGATCACCTTACAATCGAATTCCTCGACAGCAGGTAGAACAGGGAACAGAAACCTCTGTTTTTGGAACCGCAGCAAGGAGTTCCTTTTCTTAGATTACCTCAGTTCCTGTGGAGGTTTGCCCCTTTGTAAAATGATGGAAAAGACCAGTGTGGCTGACACAAATATAGGAAAGAAAGCCGTTTCCTGGCCCCTTGGGGAAAGGAGAACCTGTTAAGTGACAGATCAGGAGCCTAGCCTCCGAAGTGGGGTGGGGAGAGGCGGCGGGGGAGGGGAGGGCCATGGCTGGGCCTGTAGGGTATCGGGGAAGACAGCGTCTCTGAGCAGGAGCAGCAGGTGTGGCCGGTCGAACATGCCTGCCACAGTCAGTGTTGTCCTCTCCTTTCCACATTAGAGCCACAGCCAGGGGAGCCATTGTTCATGTCTCTTACACAGGGGGTGCGTCTTTATGTGCAGAGTGTCAGATAGCTACAGCTGCTTCTGTTTTTGTTCCCACTGAAGGGCCTGGCTGCTAACCTCCCCTTCCTTTTCCATCGTACTCATCTGTTTACTAACGTGATGGTGCTGGGTTGGTTTTTTTCTCCTGTGCTCCAGGCAGTTTGAAATCCCCGGGAAGCAACAGTGTGGGCATGCTGGATTTGGGCGGAGGGTCCACTCAGATCACCTTCCTTCCGAGAGTTGAGGTAACCAGCCCCTGTGGGGGTCCCACCCTCCCCGTGTCCCTCCCCGGGGAGGCCCGGAGACATGGTGGCTCTGGGCCCAGGCAGTCATGTCCTCTCCTGAGGGCCAGATCCATTCAGTTAACGCTGCTTAGTTTGATTTAACTCTCCCTGGGGGGGAAAAAAAAAAAGGAAATGTATGGGGTAATAAAGTATGTACTTGGGCCAGAGACTGTGAAGTGGGTCTTCCCCTTCCCTCCCTGACAGTCCCCTCCTCATCCACCATTTTTTAGTATTATTAGCTTTAGTTTTCAGCAGAAGAACACTTATGAAATCTACTCATTGTCTTGGTTGGGCCCTATTTGTTAGAATCAGTAAAGTTACTCCTAAGAAGGAAAAACCTATTTTTTTGAATGTTTAGTTTTTATTGTTGCTCCAATGAAAAGCTTAGCTTGCCTTAATAAACAGCTATTTTAATTGAATACATCTGTGAAGATCCTTGTGCTTTGACACGAGTTGAGGGAGTTGGGGACAGTTTTCTAGAAAGGCCAGCAGGAAGGGGAGTAACCCTCATGTTCTTCCCCAGGACACCCTTCGGACCTCCCCACCCGGCTACCTGACGTCACTGCAGATTTTTAATAGGACCTACAAGCTCTATTCCTACAGGTGTGTCTGGGAGTGAGGGTGGAAAGGGTGACCATCCAGGCAGAGCTCAGCCAGCGCTGCCTGGCCTCCCCCGTGCCTCCCACTCCCGCCCATAGGGTGACCAGAGTGTTCAGTCACAGACACACCAGGTCCCGGGGACCTCTTGCAGTGGACCCACCTGGACCTTCTCCCTCTTCCTGCTTTCTCCCTCCGTTTTTCAGTTTTCCTGCAGTAAAATGGCATTTCTTTTTTCATTCTTATTCTGTTCTGCTTTGGAGGAGGCTTTGAAGAGGTGGGGACGGGCCCCTGGATTGTGCAGGAATTTTCTGGACCATCTCGTGCACTTGGCGCCCTCAGTAGGTTCTTTCTGTAACACACACATGCACGATAAAGACCAGGGCTGTTGCGTTCACCAGTGTCCAAGCTCCCAGACAAGCTCCTGTCAAGTAATTGGCCTTCATTTGTTGAACTAATTAGCCGGACGCTCTGAACTCTAGAAGAAGCAGAAAAGCCACTGTTTCTTCTCTTTCCCTCTTGTTTCCAATCCAGGCCAGGTGAATGTATTAGGATCCCAGTAGAAGGTGGCAGGCCAATCCTCACCCAGGATTTTCTTTCCACAGCTACCTGGGGCTCGGATTGATGTCGGCTCGGCTGGCGATTCTGGGCGGCACAGAGGGGAAGCCTGGTAAGTGTTACGAAGCGAGTCCCCAAGAGATGGACCACCGGAGCCAGTTTGATTAAGCATGCTAGAATTTATTACAGATTCGAATCCGGGCTCACACCTTGGCTGAGGCAGCAGCCAGCAAAACACCCTCGTGAGAGCCTCCAGAGCACTCACACCAAAACACAGACAAACACACACCTACCTCAGCCAGTCAGGCTCTCCGGATTGGGGTTCCTCATGATCCTGGCTGGGGATCCCAGACGAATTCATGATCCCCAAGGACCACCAGGGAGCCGAGTCCGATGCAATAAACAAAAGAGCCCTTGCCATGCTAGCATGGGCTGTCCCACTCACGCCGGCAACATGGCGGAAGAGAGCGAATTTCGCCCAGTCCAGGAGTTTTACTCAGGTCGGTGGTGATGTCACTGCCTCGGCTAACCCTGATTGGCCCCTCAGGACAAAGAACTGGCCGTCCATATCTGTTCCTAAATCCTAAAGACTAAATTCTGAAGACTGGGGACAGCCTGCAGGGGTGGTTCCCAGTCACACCCTGCTGGACATTGGAATGTGGCCCTATCTTGCCCATAATATAAAAGCAGAACTAAAGGTTATCTATAGTTTCTACCCCTGAAGCTACTGAGTCCGTGGGAGTCAATCTCCTGTAACCACCCTATTGTTTAAGCAAGTAATCGAAGGTCGAAGTCAGATAGCAAGGTTAAAATTCAGACAGCAGTTTTTACCCAAGTATGATTGCTACCATATTTCAGTAAGTGGAATCTTGAGAGCCCTCCTGGCTCGGCAGGCCTGGGGAGTCCTTTGGGAGTGGAGCCCCCTCTCCTCCCCATGCCTCCACTGACCCCTGATGTGGGAACCCCTTTCATGTCCCGCGTGGTTCAGGGTTCAGGTTCAGGGTTCAGGTTTTGGAGAAGGCCGCACACAAATGATCAAAGACTAGAAAAGTATTAATCTGGGAATATTGGGGGCCAGGCAGGAGCCCACCTCTAGTGGGAGGACTACCGCTGTGCTTGGCCTTGCTATCCCCGTTATTCAGGTTTGGGATACACCCATTGCCCTTAGGTAATTCCAGTAACAGACAGATTATCTTATCAATAAGGATTTACATGATTATTTGATGGGGAAGTTGCCTCATTTACCTTTGTTTCAATTAGATAGGGAGTGGTTGGCTCTGACCTTTCAGACCTTAAAGGTTGACCAGCCTTCCACAACTTTTTATTAGTGAGACAATGATCAGTTTCCCATCTGTCCTCCCTGCCGGTAGGACTCGGAGCCCAGCAGAGCCGTGTGTAGAAAGATGTGCCTCAGATCTTGTCAGCGGCACTCAGGTGAGATGCAGGCTAGTGTGTTTTACGTTCCAAGTTATTTTTCCAAAGAAAGAAATGCTAGTCAAGTCATCTCCGAAATGCTGAGCTGGGGGATTTTAGGATCCAAATAACAGTCGTCACTTAAATTTGGGTCTGCTCGTTTCAAGGATTTGAAGAGAACCTTATTCTTCAGGACCGTATGGGAGGGGCCCCAAGGAGGAGTGATCCAGGCTGTTGCAATGGGGCTAGGGGACTTGTCCTCATCCATAGTGATTCTTGCCGTGTGAGAACGTCCCTCTGTCTCCTCTTGCTTCATCATAAAGCATGGTCTTGGCTCTTCTTCCCGATGTCGTGGTGGACTAGAGACAAAGTCTGTCTGTTCAGGTTCTTAAAGTCATATTTACGCCCAGCTTTCCTGCCTGATGGGTCTGGCAGAGGAGAAGCCTGTCATTGGCCGGCTGTACACGTGAATTCTCTGAGATCTTAGGGATCACTGTGTCCCGATTTGGGAACAGGACACAGCTCCAGGACCAGCATCTCCCTGTCCACCCTGGAGTCCCAAAGGCCTCGACCAGGCCTCAGGTCCACTCGTGTTCTCAGCCACACCCCCTCCCTTGGCCCTACCTGTCTGGGTCCCACGTCTCGCCCAGCCCCAACCCCAGGCCAGCTCTCCTACCCTCTTTAAGGACCTGGTTGTCTGACACGATGGGAATGTTCAACTGAAAATTTTTCTTTTGGAACATCCCGTTTCCATTAATTTCTTTCAAATTCTGGTGAAAACCTTGTGATGATATCCCTTTTGTTGCAAACCAAAAGTACATCCATGTCTCAGACACACCTGTGACCTTCACTCTGGGGCCAGAAAAGAAGAAGGCCAACAAGAAGAAGGCAAGCACCAGTTTGCCATCCATGTCTGATGTAGAGCAGCTGGGAGGCACTGGTCTTGACAGGCCACACAAGTGGGGGCGTGACACCCACCAAGTAGGGTGTACTTCAGTGGAGGAGTCTCCCTGTGGTGTTATCCGTTGCTGCACAGGAGGTTACCCATCAAACTGAGTGGTTGCACTCAGTACATTTTATTATATCTCATGAATCTATAGGCTTCGACTGGGTGACACCTGGGGTCCCATGTGGTGGCATTTAGGATGGTTGGGCTGCATGTCTGCCCCGCGGCACTCCTCCACGTGGCCTCTGTCCCAACAGAGCAGCCTGTGTGTCTCCCTGGTGGCTCAGAGGGAAGAAGGCTGCCTGAGTCACAGGACGTTGTGTCCTGTTGTGTCCTGTACCTGCTATTGGTGAAAGCAGCAGGGACAGGGACCCACTTCTCAGTGGGAAACCAGCACGCACATCCTCGAGGGGTGGTATTGCGGGGCCAGCCTTGGAGGCCAGCCACCACATTTCCCTGGCTAATTATGGGGCCCAGCTTTGGGGGAGCAGCACAGACCTGTGGCAGGTTAGAAGCATCCTGGCCCTGCTTCGGTCACCCATAATTTGGGTAACAACTGCTTCCCTTCTCTTAGGGGCCTGTGCCAATCCACTGGGCAGCACTAGTCCTGTTGCCTGGAACCCCAAAGCCCTTTGGGGAATGTGAGCTGGGAGTGGCCAGGTCTCCAGGGCCGAGGAGGCTCTGCTCCGGCCTCTCTGATAAAGGCTCTGGACGCTCCTGTGAGTCAGGTCTCTCTTGTGTCCCCCCCCCCCCCCCCCCCCGCCTCGGTGCCTGTGGTCCTGGCCTAAAATATTCTGTCCCGTGGGCCTCCCCTCAGTGGAGTCATGTCTCAGCTCCATGCAGTGCCCTGGTCTTGCAGTGACAATGTGCTTTTCTTCTCTCTTTATTTCAGTGGAGGATGGAAAGGAGTTGGTCAGTCCCTGTCTGGCTCCCACTTTCAAAGGAGAGTGGGAACATGCTGAAGTCACGTACAGACTTTCAGGACAGAAGGCAGGTACTGTGGACTTGCCCTTCATCGGGGGGGATAAGGGTGAACGATGCAGCCCGCCCCTTCCAAGGACCTCTGAGGCTGCCCACACCTCCTTTACAGACAAGCTTGTACTTGTCCTTCAAATGGAGGCGCCCTTTGAGCCTCATCAGGACTCTGGGAGGCCCTTGCCAGCCCACTGGGATCCACCAACTCCGCAAGTGCAGGGGCCTAATGCAACGGGGATCTCCTTTGTCCACGTCCTGCACCGAAAGAGATGAACGAACCTGTTCCAAGTTGGAGGCAGCCAGGGATTGAGAAATAATAGAAATAAAGAAAGAAGACGCAGAAATAGATTTATAAAGCTGGGAGCTAGGTGGGTGCCATTCTCTCTGATGGAGAGGCAGCGAGCGAGCACCCTGAGCCACACAGCAGGTTTATTTTATATCCCAAAAATCCAGGAAGTAACACCAAAACTTAGGATCAAAGGAGCTTATTTGCATTCTTAAGTAGGCCCTAGCATTTCTGGATTTATATATCTAGACCTGCCCCTGCTGACACCTGGACAAAGATAAGAAGTCAGAACGAATGACACCCCCCTCACCCCTGCCTTCTTGGGGGTGGGGGAGAGGGACACACAACTCTGCCAGTGTCTCGGGCTCAGCTGACAATTTTAAAAAATGTCCATGTGCCTTCCCAGGGGTCCCTCTACATGCAAGGTCTCTGCCCAAGGCTTCCTTGTCTGTTGCCAGATGCTTTCTTCCAAAGGGCCAGGTTTCCCAACAAGCTCCAGGGAGAAAGGCCTGTGAATCCCCAGGGCAGTCAGCAAGCCCATTTCTGAACTAAGGGAATGATGACTTCTCCCCTTCCTCCTCCAGGACGGAGGTTTGCTCAGGCTGCAGTGTCCCCGAAGGCCTGCCACAGGGTCTTGCCAGCCTGGCCCCTCTTCCTCCCCTCCCTCCACATAGTCTCGGTTGCTCTGTGCACTGCAGTGTCATCTGAAAGAAGCAGTGAAATGTTGTTCCCAGGCTGGACTGTGGTCCAGAGGCTTGTCTGCCTTTGGTGACAGAGTTGTGGCTACTCTTCTGACACCAAATGTGTGGGTTTTCTATACCAATCAGTCCTCCAAACAATTGATTATATCGTTGGCCTTTGGTGATAAGTCAGTCCCTAGACCCTTGCCCCTCCCTGGATGTTGGGGTTGGGAAGTTCCAAACCTCCTATCACGCATAGGATCCTCTGACAATCATCCCCCACCCTGTAGCCTGGGGAAAGGAGCTTATTATGAATAGCAGATATCCCTCCTCACCCCCACCCCCATCACTCAGAGTCTTACAAGGGGTTTAGGAGCTCTGTATCAGGAACAAGACCAATACATTTCTTAATGTCCAGTGGGTATTGTTGTGGGGTTGAACCCTGGATTCAGAATAAGACCAGCGGAGGATGCTAATTGATTAAAAAAAGCAGGCAAGGATTTATTGAACTGGCCAGGACGGCCACGAGAGCACCACACACAGGTGGAGTCCACACTCACGACCGCACCGTTCCAGGTGTAGGCAGTCCTTTTAAAGGTCTAAACCACAAAAATTTTCCTTTGTTCTGAATTCTAAATTCTAAATACTGGAACAGCCCGCCGGATGTCCACATCCTGCTGGACATTGGAATGTGGCCCTATCTTGCGAAAGCAGATAGTACAGAAGCAGAGCTGAGAGGTTAATCTAAAGGTTATCTACAGTTTCTACTCCTGAAGCTACTGAGTCGGTGGGAGTCAATCTCCTGTGGTCCTGGTCCACAGGCACAGGAAAATTGCCTTAGCTTCCAGGTCTCAATCTGGAAGCTGAGGCAACCACCGTATTGTTTAAGCAAGTAATTCAAACAGCAGTTTTTACCAAAGTATGGTTGTTACCATACTTCAGTATGCGTGTCACTGTGACTCGGCCACTGTGCACATGCCATTTGTTGGCCCTGTTGCAGCTACTGGCACACCGTTAGTGCACAGTGCAGGCAAAGCTGGAGGAGTGGGAGGAGTGGGAGGGGTCAGGCAGTAAAACATGGGAAAGCGCTTTGAAGAAAAATAAACTAGGAGGAGAGATTGCTATTTTAGATAAGCAGATCAAAGAGGAAGAGATTCGGAGTGAGCCATCAGATCTAAAGCAGGGGCCCTGGGGCAGCTGCTGTGTTTACAGAACAAGGAGGAGGCCGTGTGACTGGTCCGGTCTGAAGGGCAAGGGGTGGCCTGGGGGCCTTGGAGAGGACTGAATGGGCTGCCCTTGGGTGGTAGGACAGGTTTTGGAAAAGGAAGATGGGAAACAGGTCCAGGCATGGGCTGTAGGCATTTAATCCCTTAACTCCAGAGCCTGTGTTCTTCCAAGCAAGGAGTGAACGGCCAGCCTGTGAGCTTGGCAAGCTGCCTGTTAGGCCTCAGTTTCCTCATCTGTGACACATGGAGAGTGCAGGCCTCACCTCCACGGTGGCTGGTGAGACGGAGGAAGACGGTGCATGTTCAGAACAGCACGGGCTGGCGGAGGGCGAGTGGAGGGTAAACTGCACCCTTGGGCCCTTTGGGCTGTGGGGATGGCTGCATGGGGCCCAGCAGAGGCTCCTGTCCTGCAGTCAGGTTCCCCTCCCTTACTCAGAGCCGTGGCCCCGAGAGGTGCTATCTATTGACCGTATGGTGCTAGTGCGGGCCGACTTGGGGTGGTGTCTGCAGGATTCTGGTCCCACCTCTCCCTCCCGGTCAGACTCAGGTCGCTGGGAAAGGGCCTCAGGGACTGTGCTTGGTACTGGGAGCCCACTGACTGCTGGCCCTGCTTTTTGCTTTGCCTAGCAGTGAACCTCTACCAGCTGTGTGCCCGCAGAGTGTCCGAAGTCCTTCAGAATAAAGTGCACAGGACAGAAGAAGTGAAGGATGTGGATTTTTATGCTTTTTCCTACTATTATGACCTTGCAGCAAGTGTTGGCCTCATAGGTAAGGGGAAGTGGGGGCGGGACGTGCGGGCTGGACCAAGAGCTCATTGGTTAGGTTAGACCCTGAGCAGAGAGAGTCTGTTGGGGAGCAGCTGTGCTGTCAATCAACTTGGGGCACAAGAAGTGGACTGACTGGGGAGGGCATGGGTCTTGTCATCGAATAAGAGGTAATGAGCCCCTTTAAATAAATCACTCAGTTCTTTGAGCCACTTAGTAGGTTTGTTGTCAGGCAGGAGCAGTCATTTCTGCTCTGAGGCAGGCCTGGCTCACCTAACTCAGACCCACCCTCCTGCCTGGTTCCTGAGTCTCTGGCTGATGGAGCCCTTTGTGACTCAGCCAAGCAGCCGTCTGTCCCTGGCCGGCCCCAGGCTGCGCTGGGAAGAGGTCAGCCTTCGCCACTGGTGACCCTAAGGAGCTGTTAGGGTCTCTCCGACTACTCCACACCCCAGAGTGCAGTTAGGACAGCCATGACGTGTGGAGTTTGCCAAAGGGTGGTGCTTAGACTGAGGGTGGAAACTCCAGAGGGTTTGAAGTCACTTCATGGGGTGGTGACCAGAAATTTTGTTAGTGAACTAATGGAGAAATTCAGAATGCATGGCCTGTGATAAAGAGAAGAGCATTAATGCAAATGAAAAGCTTCGAGAACACCAATGATGTCAGGGTCTGGTTCCCGGGATCCTGAGGCCTCCAGCCGAGTCTTCACGCTCACTCAGCCACCCACTGTCAGGCCCCCTGTGGAAGGCAGCCAGGGGGCTAGGGGTCTTCTCTCTCACCCTTCTCTCAGGCCCAGGTCCCTCTCTCTGGCACAGAATAAGGGTCCCTGGGCTGCCCCCTATAGCCAGCCAGGGCCTGAGGGACCCTGTGGGCTCCGTGTAGCTGGAGCAAGGGCACGTGGTGCCCACTTCCTAACTGTGCTGCCAGCTGCGGGCATTGCAGTGCCTGGGGTCCACCCTGGCAGCCTGCTGGGCACTCCCTCCACACATACACACACACACCAGCATCCCCGTGTCAGTCTGGGATTCCTCACTGTGACCAAAGGCTGCCCTTTCCCTGGGGTTCCGACATCTGCCCCGGTGACCCAGGAGCTGCCGGGTGTTCGGAAAAGCGCTTCTGACTTCCTCGTGTGCTCACACCTGGCTCTAAAACAACCCCTTGGGACGCACCCTCAGTGTTGACGTTGGCTGACTTAGCCAACGCCCATGAAGTCAGGAGACTTCCTTTCCACACCCTGAGTAGCTGCCTCACGCCAGACACGCGTGAGGTGCCTCTGTCCCCGGCAGTGGCCTGAGGCCTGGGGCTGCCCATTGGTTCTGAGGCCTGACAACCCGCCCCTCACTTTATTTTTTTTATTTTTTTTATTTTTTAAATATATTTTATTGATTTTGTACAGAGAGAGGAAGGGAGAGAGATGGAGAGTTAGAAACATCGATGAGAAAGAGTCATCGATCAGCTGCCTCTTGCACACCCCCTACTGGGGATATGCCCGCAACCAAGGTACATGCCCTTGACCGGAATCGAACCCGGGACCCTTCAGTCCCCAAGCCGACGCTCTATCCATTGAGCCAAACCGGTCTCGGCCCGCCCCTCACTTTATACAGCATTTTCTCACACCCGGGAAACGGATGCCAGAGTGCCATTGCTGAGCTCAGAGCCATAGCTTTGGGAAACATTTCCAGTTTACTTTCCTTGAAGTTCAAAAGTGGGGTCTAGTGGGCTTCCTCGGGTGGCCCCTGAAAGACCCCCGATGTGCTGACCGCCCCCATGTGGTCCTGCATGGAACGTCTGCCCACCCCAGGCCTGTCCGCACGCACCTCAGAAGCCATGGCCAGTGTCGTGGGGCCACTGCCCTGCTTACAGCCAGGCTGGCAGCCAGCCCTTCGGCACGCCCTGTGCCTGCCTCCCCAGGATCCCCAGGTGCCGGCCTCGGGCCTCAGTGGCCTCGGGACTCCTGTGGTGCCAGCACCAATTGGACGCTTGGTCTTGTCCCCCAGATGCGGAGAAGGGAGGCAGCCTCGTGGTCGGAGACTTTGAGATTTCGGCCAAGTACGGTGAGTGGCGGCTGCACTTCCCCGGGTGGGGAGGGCTGGAGCTGGAGGCAGGGACACCGTCCCGTCGAGACGCGGGCTGCGGTGCTTGCGACAGGCAGTGGCACCAGCACTCCTGGGGTGGGCTCCTGATGCTGGCAACCAGAGGAGTGTTCAGAGGGGTGAGTACGGAGTTGAGAGGATGCTTGGGTCACCGTGCTGGGCCCAGACCAGCGGTTCGCCACATCCCGTGCGGCCCCAGGCGGTGGGGGAGGGGGCCGCCCGTGTCCCCAGCCGTAAAAAGCCCTTGTGAGGAATGGACTCCCTTCGTTTTACTTTTCCTGGCGCCTCTCGCTGTGATTCAGGTTAACCCTAAGAGTGATTTCCCCTGAAAGTGTCCCCGGAAATTCAGAATTGTCCCCAAATCTTGGAAAAGAAGCCAGGGCCCCCAGCACAGCAGAGCCTGGCACGTGAGGGATGAAGAGCAGGCCCAGCCCTTTGGCTCGCACTGCACCTGCCTCCCCCGGACCCAGGTGCCGGCCTCGGGCCTCAGTGGCCTTGAGACTGCTGTGGTGCCGGCACAAACTGGGCGCTTGGTCCTGTGCCCTTGGGGTGTCACAGGTGTTGGCCCTGCAGCCCTGAGCCGTCCCTTTCCCCGCCATCTCACGCCCCCGCCGAAAGGATGTGAAGCGAAGGCTTGTAAACGTTCTGCTCTTCGGTCGCCATTCCCGATTGCATGTCAGAAGAGTTCACCTTTGTCTGTTTTCTCCATAGAAAGTCCTTCCTCACTCCCCTCACTCCCAAAAATGGCTTCTATGCTTTTGTTTTGTTTTGTTTTTAAATATGTATTTTATTGATTTTTTTTCAGAGAGGAAGGGAGAGGGATAGAGCGCTAGAAACATTGATGAGAGAGAAACATCGACCAGCTGCCTCCTGCACACCCCCATCGGGGACGTGCCCACAACCAAGGTACATGCCCTTGACCGGAATGGAACCTGGGACCCTGCAGTCCGCAGGCTGACGCTCTATCCACTGAGCCAAACCAGTTTCAGCTACAACAGCAATTTTTTTAAAAAATCAATCTTTATTGTTCATATTATTACAAAGGTTCCTCATTTCTTCCCCCTTCCACCAGGTTCCCAGCCCACCCTCCACCCCCTCCCCACCCCCCATTGTCCTCATCCATAGGTGCACAGTTTATGTTCAGTCTCTTCCTCCCTCCCTTTCCCCGAGAACAGTCAGTCCACTCCCCTCCCATAAATGGACACATTTTTTAAACATAGCTGCTGGTTGGAATTGGATTATCTGTTCTGGGTGGGAAGGGCTTGTCATTCTCTTTAAAATTAAGGTGTTAGCTTTAAAACCTCTTTTTGGCAAGAGACCTTAAACTTTCTGAAGGCTTCTACGTTTTCTTGTCATTTCCGGGTTTGTCTTGTGGACACGGGGTGTCCGTGACTCTTCAGGAGGAATAGGTGCCCAGCAGAATGCTGGGAAGGCTGTGGGTGGGCTTGCCCATCACCCTGGAGAATAAGAGGAGGTTGTCCGGAGCGAGTTTTGCTCGTGTTTTCATTCCTCAGCCCGGGTCTGCGTCTGGAAGAGGTGTCCGTGTCGTGGGGGCGGAGATGTGGCCTCCCACCCATGACCCCGGGACGGGTGGCCCAGCCCTGACGAGTGGCTGGCCTCAGCCCTGCCTCTTGGCGCTCTTGGCGGGTCACTGTCCTGCTCGGAGCTGCAGGCTTGTTTAAACCAGCAGGAGGACTGGGGGTCCACACGGAGCCTGGTGCAGAGTGGGCACCTGGCGTGAGCAGAGTGGGGTCTGCATACACCTACCCCCACCCCCACGGGAACCTAACCGGGAACGGCTCTCTCTCTCGTCCCCAGTGTGCCGGACGGCGGAGACCCGCCCACAGAGCAACCCGTTCCTGTGCATGGACCTCACCTACATCAGCTTGCTGCTCCGAGAATTCGGCTTCCCGGGAAACAAAGTGCTGAAGGTAAGGACTTGCCCCCTGGTGCCCTGTGCCCCTCACAGCCTGAGAGACCGGGGCGCTGCCTCCTGCCTCCCACTCAAGCCATCCCTCCCCCCGTGTGCATGGGCCCCTCTGCCCTCTCTGTCTTCTCCAGCTGACTCGGAAAATCAACAACGTTGAGACCAGCTGGGCCCTGGGGGCCATTTTTCATTACATCGACTCCCTGAACGGACAGAAGAGTAGGGCCTCGTAGTGGCTGAGCTGCCTGGTGTCTTCAAGGTGGTGGCTCCGTCTCTGCAAGAACAGGAGGCCCTTCGGAAACTCTGGACGTGTTGGGAGGAGGCCACAGCTCGGGCCGAGACCCTCCTCCCGCAGCCCTGCCCCTGGACGGGCCAAGGACTGGCGCTCAGCCCAGGCCCAGCACTCCTCCTCCCTGCCTCAGCTCCAGGCGGACAGCAAACCAGATGGGGAAGGAGCACCTGCCGGGCCCGGTGATGTAGTCCCACTGTCCGTCCCCACGCTCCCCATCTGGAGGGTGGGGCAGCTGTGACATCCATGCCTGTGCCCGGAGTCTCGTTTTGTGCCCCTGCCCCCGTCCACTCCCGCTTCCCCAAGGCAGACCTCCACCTTCTCCCCAGAACCAGGGCGAGGTTTTGTAGGCTGCCCTGCTGCTTGGGGTGAGCCAGGTGGGAACCCCCATGCCCTCTGGGACAGTGGGCCGGGCAGGGCGTTGTGAACTCTGGACTTGAATGTATTTGTTCCTCCTTGGGTGTGGATGTGTGAAGCCATACAGAGGCCTGTCCCTCAGTCTCTGGATGGCTCAGGGTTAACCGATGGAGTTGACACTGTGAATAGGGGGAGGGGCTGAGAGGGAAATACCTCTTCGTGGCCCCCCTGTGCCCCGACTCTTCAAGAAAAGCGGAATGTGAGCATGAACTGCTGTGAAATATGTGTGGTTGTGCTGAGTGAGTGACGCTCTGCCAAGCAGTGCCGAGTGCTTGTGTGGCCCTTGTGTTCTGAGCCCCAGTGAACACACAGCTGCTGTGAGCCCGGTGCAGCCCGGCAGGGTCGGCAGGGTCGGCAGGGTCAGGACCCGGGAGCTCCCTCTGGAAACTGCCCTCTTGTGGCTCCTCCCCCTCCGGCTCTACTGGCTCCGCCCCCCAGGGTCTGGGTGCCAGCTCTGTCCAGGGGAGACACGGGCTGTGTGAGGCACAGTGCGGCCCCAGGTTTACAGTCGTCCTCGTGAATGTAAAGTACACAGCAGAAGCTGACCTCCTGTGTTCCACTCAGAATAAAGGTTTACCAGTTACCGGAAGTTCCTGCTCCTCTGTGCTTCCTCGCAGCGAGGATCAGCCACGTCTGTCCACCCAGCACCGGCAGGAAGGACCTGAAGTCTCTGTTTACTCCAGTTTAAACAAAACACTGCCCAGGTTGGGTGGTGGGTGGGGGCACAATTGAGTGCTGTCAGTTTATCTTGTGAGGAGACCACAGCAGGAGGACACGCAGAGCCCTCCCCCCGGGCCCTCTGCCATCCCCTGTTAGTGACCAGCCCTGGGGAGGCCCAGGCTGTTCTAGGGTCTGGCCAGGGAGCCCCTCTCCTCCCCGGGGTCGGTCAGAACAGAGTGCCCCCCTGGGGCTGCCACCACAGCATGTGCCAGGTAAGTTCTCACACACACCACCCACACCACGGCCGTCTCGAGTGTGTGCAGCACTCCAGGTGGCAGTGTGTTCAGAGAGGCCCTGGCTTTAATGGGGGTCATTTGGAAAGGAGGCCAATGTCAGGCAAAGACTGGGTGGACTCCACCCTGATCGTAGGTGCTCACTGTTAGGTATGATCAAATCATCGAATCGATACCCCCTCCCCTGGGATCATTTCGCAACCTACATTCCCTTTCGCTGAGACCACTTTCCACTTGCTAAGACCAGTAACTGTTCCCTCTGGGCTTGCCCAGGATCTGGACCCACCCAGAGAATTCCCTGCCAAAAAAGCACACCCAGAGTCCTTTAAAATCTCCGACTCCCCATCTCTGGGTGTCGCCATTTGGGGGCTCATCGGGTTTCCAGGTGACCTAGTACATTACACTCATAGCCCTCTCACCTCTCGGACCTGACAGGAGGAAGCATGGGTCTGGCCCCTGGCCTTCCCAGGGCTGCAGCAAGGCCAGAGCAGGCGAGTCCGCTGCATAGTCCCACGGGGTAGAGGTCCGTGGGGGAGAGGAGGCCTCTGCGGGAAACGGGGTAATTTTGCTCCTCGCCTCCCAGAACCTTAAATTCCCAGTGGGCAGAGACAGGAGAGGGTCCAGAGGCGAGCCTTGGCTGGCTGAGAAGCACTGGGCCTGCAGGACGCTCAGACGGGGAGGTACCCATCTTTTCTGAGCATCCTCTCTGGTCTGGGTGGGGTGATCATTACTACCCCCCCTCCAGGGGACCTCCTGGACACAAACCATTGACAAAACGAGCCAGCTCTCTGCCCAGTGGTCTCCCAAGATGTAACTTCTGGGGCAAAGGTGTGGAGCTCTGTGTGTGACACAAGCAGGAGAGGACAAAGCAGGAGAGATGCTTCCATTACTGAAAAGCCACCTTAGGACTAAAGCTTTGGACACGGAAATGGCCTCTCCCCTGCACCTCACCACGCCTGCCTTGGTAGGCTCTCCCTAGCCCCTTCCTTCCACAATAATCTGACAATTTGAATTGAAGAGCCAGAGGCAAGGAATTAAGGATGCATGAAGGTGAAAGTGAACATTGATTTGGTCCATTTATAGAATGTTTGAAGCAACTGGGGCTGCTCCTCCTTGTAAGTCACAGTATCGCTGAGCTGGAAAGAGGCTGTGCGGTGGGTGGGAGTCCAACAGCTGTCTTCAATATTATAAGGATTTTCAGACCGTGGCCTTACCTGTGTTGCTCCAGAGGGAAGTTCAGACACAGGTAAAAGTGATAGGAACCCCGTTTTCAGGTTTCCGTCTAACCAGAAAGACGTCCTGAAAGAAGGGGCTCTTCAGTGGGGTGTGTCCTGTTCTGTCAGGATGAGGGGTCAGAGCCAGGCACCGCCACATCCTCTTCATGCTCCACATCCTTGGATCTGCCTTGAAAATGACTTTGAACACCATGGCCAGGTAAACATACCTAACCTGTAGCATCATCTCTCACTTTTGAGTTTAAATAAGACAATGGCTCGTGTTTGTAGTGTGCTTACTGTGTGTCAGGCATGGAACTGTCTGCTCTATCGAAGGTAATAAAGTACACAAGTTGCTAAGGGGCTATTTACCTTATCCTCTTGCAATGAAATTGTGATAATCTCTTTAGAAAAGGTAAAATTCTGTCTAATTTTATGTCTCCCTTGACTTAGTGGAACAATATGAACTGGATTTAAGAATGTTATAATAGAATTTTTACAAAATGGGTTCAGTTTTTGTTTCAGTTTTTATTATTATGAATGGACAATAGTTGGACTGCTTTTTGTTTTTTAATTAAAGATTTGTAGTCTGAAAGAAAAAAAAAAAATATATATATATATATATATATATTATTGATTTTTTACAGAGAGAGGGATAGAAAGTCAGAAACATCCATGAGAGAGAATCATCGATCAGCTGCCTCTTGCACACCTCCCACTGAGGATGTGCCTGCAACTAAGGCACATGCCCTTGACTGGAATCAAACCTGGGACCCCTCAGTCCGAAGGCCGACGCTCTATCCACTGAGCCAAACCGGTTTCGACTGTCTGCTCTTTTTGTAGCAAATGATCTAATTATCACAGCAGCCCAGGGGGCAGGTATTAGTCTTTGCCATTGTACAGCCAAGGAGCTGGGCCTAAAGGAGCTAACCATCAGTGAGTGAGGAGGAGGGCCCCCTGCGTCCCAGGTTTGGAGGTTTTCAAACCCCAAACTACGTGCTACCAAAGTTGCATCCAAAGTTAAAATTCTCTCTAGATAGATTTTTCCTTGTCAAAGCCGGCCTTACATGCAGCTGTTTATCAAAAGCAGGTCTCTCCATTCAAGATTCAGTCATCACAGTAATAAGGCACTTTGTAATATTTAGAAAAATAGTTTCACAGTCAAGAGAAATAAAAACTAGCTCCGGGCCTAACTGTCCTTTTATCATTTGGACAGCCTCTGATTCTCACTGTTCAGTGTTGACTGATTGGAGGACAGAGGTTTTTGTGTAAGAGGTTGAGTCCAACCCTGTCAGTCTTCGTGTCTGCCTCAGGATTCACGTAGTTCCGAAGCAGACATTCCCCAACAAGGCGTCCTGTCTCGAGAAGCCCCTTGGAAGGTCAGGAGAGGCCCGAGCTGAACTTCTGTGGCAGAGGACACACCTCCAGAGGCCCGCGGTGCCCAGCAGACACAGCTGCGTGGTTTCTGCAGAGCCACCCAGCAGGTCGCTTAGAGTCACATGGTTTTGGAAGTGAATATGCCAACTCGCAGAAGCCTGCAAGGACTTGTTCTCATGCAACAAGAAGAAATGGGAATATCAACCAGGGTTTTCAACTTTCTGGGGATAAAGAGATTTCAAAGGATTTTTCAAAATGACTCTCCAGCTGAAACCGGTTTGGCTCAGTGGATAGAGCGTCGGCCTGCGGACTGAAAGGTCCCAGGTTGATTCTGGTCAAGGGCATGTACCTTGGTTGCGGGCACATCCCCAGTGAGGGGATGTGCAGGAGGCAGCTGATCGATGTTTCTCTCTCATCGATGTTTCTGATTCTCTATTCCTCTCTCTTCCTCTCTGTGAAAAATCAATAAAATATATGTTGTTGTTTTTTTAAATGACTCTCCAGCCGAAACCGGTTTGGCTCAGTGGTAGAGCGTCGGTCTGCAGACTGAAGGGTCCCAGGTTCGATTCTGGTCAGGGGCATGTGCCTTGGTTGCGGGCGCATCCCTGGTGGGGGTTGTGCAAGAGGCAGCTGGTCAATGTTTCTCTCTCATCAATGTTTTTAGCTCTCTATCTCTCTCCCTTCCTCTCTGTAAAAAATCAATAAAATATATATTTTTTAAAAATGACTCTCCATACGTTGGAATGTTATTTTGGAATAAAAAGGAGTTACAGACTCACAACATGGATGGAACTTAAAAACATTAGGATAAATGAAAGAAGCCAGACACACAAGATCTCATATTACATGGTTCCATCTTTATGAAGTGTCCAGAAGAGGCAGATCTAGAGACAGCAAGCATATCGGTGGTTGCCAGCAGCTGGGTGAGGGAGAAAATGGAGAGTGAGTGCTAATAGTCTGGATACAGGGTTTTTAGCGGGTGA